AGATGCATTATTTGCCATGCTGAGTTGAATTTAGCTGGCACTTCAACTGTTAGTATGGACGATAAATATAAATTAGATGAACTTAAAATAAAGATAAACGAGATAATAGATAAAGCTAGAATATTAGAAGCCAATGGAATGCAAGCGGTGAATGTCAAACAATTATTAAAGATTGCTGATAAGTTGAAAGGAAAATATAAAGAGCTAGCCCAAAAACTTGGGCAGCCAATATGCGATTTTTGTAAATATAAATTTCATATGATTGGATCTGATCCTGTAAAACCGTTTGAATTTTCTGAAGAAACTCTTTTGACGGAACCGTTTTTAAGCGGATTATATGAAAATATAAATGATTCAGTTAAACCGCTAATGATAGGTGCGTCCATACTAAATCAATCGGTGGAATCTGTGAAACCATACTCTGATGATGATGATGAGTTTTTAAAAAGCAGAAATGACACCCAGATACTAATCAATTCGGAAGCTCCAAGTGCCGTGAGATCATTAGTACCATTATCTTCAAGCACACATAATAGGAAAGTCTGGAAGATTTATGAACCAAATGCCAGTGCAACTACCTTAACTCCTCACAGTACTAGAAATGATATTTTCAAAAATAATAGTACCTTAGATGACGATAATGATGAACAAAGTATCTATGAAACAACTTCGGAAATCATGATGCGAATGCCAGCTATGATAGATCCTGCAACACAGTCCTATATATCGCTATCCAGTGACGTTTCAGCTGATGCAGACTTTGGCGATTGTTACATTCATTATATAAATAATGACAGTGAAGTTGAATCCGCAACTACGCTAGAAGAACTTGTTGATACTGATAATAGTGACGAAGTTTCTCGCAAACCTCTGTTTAGTTGTAATATCGAAAAATGCCACCAAGCAGACGAAACCAATGATAATGATGATATAGAAAAAGAAAGTCATGTACACATTCATGCAAAGATTTCTAAAAGGAATTTAACATGTAATTGTGAAGTGAAAGATGAAGATACAAAAGATAATACGGAAGTTGAGGAAGTGTTGGATTAAAGTACGTTTTATTTTACCCTGAAGAATGCTCAGAAATCAGGAAATCATAATTATAAACATCGTATAAAAAATGCATAATCAACAATTACGCACAGTTGAAAGTTCTTCCTATATTTTAAGAATTCATCGTTTTAAACACTGAATAGTCCTTAGAAGATAGGGTGGTTTACGGCAGCTATGAAATACAAAATAAATATATAAAAAATTAAAATCTTGTTTACACAGACGAGAACAAGTTTTCAAAAAACTAATCATACCAAGAGTGAGGGTGACCATTGCATTCATTCAATTCGAACTAGACGAATTAGCAAGAGAGGAATTATTTAGAATTAAGAAAGTAAAGAAAATGAAATCATCATTAGTAGGAAAAACGACGGTCAAGAAAAAATCATCTCAATTCAAATTGGAACCACAAAAACCTGTAACTCAATCTAAACTTGCAACTCCACCAAAAATTGCAAGTCAACCGAAACTTTCAACTCCACCCGCCACGCCTAAACATGGAATAGGCGTTCAAGGAATAACTTGTGTGGTCTGCGGCAGTGGCATGTTTAAAGGAGTAAAAGTTTTCGACAAAGACACTGAGGAAAAATTAAAAATATTAAGGAAACTACTCCATGAAATCACGAACATGACCAGATCGTTTGAAGATTCCGGTTTATGTGGGCCCAAAATCAGTGAATTTACTAAAGCATCCGAAGATGTTAAAACGAAAATTGATCATTATTTCGATAAAAGAGACGTAACTGTGGATGATCTAAAATGTAATATGGGTAGGCTACGGGTTCTGTTGCAAGATGTTAAGAAAACAGTTCAAGTCACAGACAAAAGTCCACATCTAGGCAAACTCTGCCAAAAATGTGCGGAATTTGAAAAAACGTTAAACCAATGCTGTTGTTTTAAAGAAACTGAAACAAAAGTCACTAAATCGAACGAAACTGTGTCACATGAAGTCAAAACTCCCCACAGTTTCCTATATAACGAATTTTTCAAACGAAAGTCTGTTATAGTACCTAAATTGCAAATACCAGATTACATGATAAAATCTCAAGCTATCGTTTTACCATGTTGTCATACTACAAGAGAAAGTGATAAGATATCCTCGAGCGCTCGTCTAATTGAATTTGAAAAACACGTCGATGAAGTCATTGCTATGACAAACTGTTACAAACAACAAGGTCTGTTGACTCCAAGTGTAACAGAGTTTTTAGAGTCATGCAAAGCTGTGAAGTTCAAAATAGCAAATCATAAAATCCAACAAGAAAACAAAATTAAGCTAAGACAGTTAAAAGAGAATGTAGCAAAATTAGAAGCGATTTCTTGTCTTGTTCAGAGAGAAGATTTAGATGACACTAACATAATGAGTTTTATGGTACGTTGTAGACAATTCAAAGAAAAGTTAGAAGGGCGCAGACCATACCGTGATTATAGTTTAGAAAAACTTGTCAATGAAATTAATGATAGCATAATACTGACAAATGAAGTTAAAAAAGAAGGTTTGGATAGTGAATGTGTCGATGATTATATCAAAAGCTGTGAAGCTATAAAAGCAAAACTTACATCTCAAGAAACCCTCGACAAAACAAAAGAATATAGTAAGTTAGACAATTTAATATTTCAGATAACAAATATATTGTCAGCTATAAAAACATACAAAGATGAAGGGATAATAACAAAGAGTGTGGACGAGTTTTATAAAACTTGTTTAGCTACTAAAGCGAAATTAGATCAGTGTAAGCGGAAAAAAATACAAACTTGCGAATGTGCTCAAAAAGAATTAAAAGATTACTCATGTGACAGTTCTAAAAAATGTGTCACAAAGAAACCAAGTAACCTACAATGTAAATCGCCTCCTGTTCAAGTAATAAGATGCCATTCCGAAGCTGTAATACCAATTTGTCATTCCAATGCAGTCTTACCACCATGTTGTCCTAAAGTTCAAATTGAGCCTTGCCGTTCCATGACACCAATCTGTAAAACTAACACTACGAAACTCCCAGTAAATACATTACCACAAACTTGTCATTCCAATACAGTCTCACAACCATGTTGTCCTAAAGTTGAAGTTGGGCCTTGCCATTCCATGTCACGGATTTGTAAAAGTAACACTATGAAACTGCCAGTAAAAACATCTTCACATACACCTGGAGGTTTGAAAGTTTCCATCACAGAGAATAGATGCCAACAGGATGGCACCAAACCGTGTTTAAATACTTCCAAAAATTCTTTGACACCCTGCAAGCCTGGTAAAAGCTGTGAACAGACGTCAAAAGCGTCAAAAACATCCAGTGGATCTAGTTTCTTAGCCCGAACTAATTCAGGAAAATCGCTAACAAACGTATGCGAATCATGCTTTGCAGCACTGAAAAAGTTACCGCCAATGTCAGTTAAGACACATTTGAAATCTGACGAAAAAGGTTACTATGAGAAGCAAATCAGTAAAACAAAAACGATAAAGAGGTTCAGAGAGAAGGATGGAACTATAAAGAAGAGTTGTGAGACTGTTGTTACAAAGAAGAAGAAGTATGATTCACAACGAACACCAACATGCTCAGACGTGTTCGACTACGAATCGTCTTATGATTCAGTTAAGAGTGCAACGCAAGTTAATTTATGCGAGATACCACAGACAAAAGGGTATATACAAACTGTGAGACCTGTCAAATCTGAGACTCTGATTCGAACACTTGATTTGAGTTTTGATAACCCCATAGTATGGTCTAGTATTTCAGAGGACAGTGTGATATTTAAGAGGAAAAATGAAGAAGAATTTTTTGGTTTCTGTGATCCCTATTTCTGTGCCACGACTCCTAACAGTCGTGATTCTCGTATGATTTTTCCGATTTGACGTACTAGTCATTTACAAATCAATTCTAAGTCACTAAAACAATTTTAATGGATGTTAAATTTCAATAAATAATGTTTTCTGCATATTTTTTTGTTTGAGTTTTTTAGTTTTTTATTCAAAATATCAAGGTTAGATTGGCATTGGGATTAAAATGCTTATGAACAAAGTAGGTACTTCAGTTTCCCTTGCTTAAAATTGCTTTTTATTGTAGGGCATACTGTTTTCTTTCCATTTTTCTCGTTTATAGAAATTGCTCTCTTCACATTTGCACTCCTTTTTGTCCTCATCTCAAAATTTCTCCTCTACTGTATTGATGCTGCACGGTGGATGCAGTGGGTGAGCAACCGGCTGCAGATGCCGTGTAGCAGATTCGATTCCCGCACGGAGCAGCTCTTTGTGTGATCCTCAAATTGTTGTTTAGGGTCGAAGTTTCTTGTGTATTTGTACTTGTATGTTAGTAAATAGTAATGCAGGGCGCATTACTATTTTCTACTGTACTGTACCATACACAACATTTCTTCAAAAAAAAGTAAGAAAAGATATGACAGTCGCCTATAAATAACTACAAAAATAAAACAAGATATTAGTAGATTTATTTAAATTTATATCATTAAATATCTTATAGTAACAACAACACCAAAAACAACTCTAACGCCCGAGTACTGAAAGGTTACTCGATTTTAAATTGTACTTAGATATCGCACTATCTCTGTCATTTTACAAACAATTTGGAAAGACAGAACTATTTTTGAGAGCGTTTAAAAATTGAGTGACGTTTGAGTATTTGAACATTAATCTTTGATTTCAAACGTCATCAAGACAATATTAGAGAGAAATGCATTTTTTGGCAATGAAATTCTCGTAATGTGAATAAGAAAAGAGCTTAGCTTCTTTACACACTTTAATTGTCTACATTACATATCTCAGCAGAGAGAAAAACGCGTTTGTCTAGATTTTTCAAATTTATCGTTTGATATTCACTCAAATTTTTGCTCGAAATGGTAACAAGGTAAAATTAATAATAAATTATAGAGAAAAGGGTGAGTTCAGCGGATTAACACATTTAAACAGAATGTCAACAAAAGATTTGTATCCACAGGAAACAAAACGTACTGTCAAGATGCATTATACCAAGGATCCTTATAACAATGCATTACATTTTATCTGAACTGGACGAGAGAGAACGAGAAGAAACATTCAGATTAAAACGATTCAAACAACTCAAATACAAAGGCAAAAAAGGTGACCAAAACGAACCGAAAGAACCTGGGCAAGAAGCTATTGTTCCTCCTCCCATTCCTCCTCCTGCTCCTCCGTGTCAAGTATGCGGTGTAGAATCGCCACCGGCTGAAGATGAATACATTGAAGCTGAATACATTGAACCTGAACCTGAATTTGAACCTCAACTTGAACCTGAACGTAAACCTGAACGTAAACCTGAACGTAAACCTGAACGTAAACCTGAACGTAAACCTGAATTTGTACCTGAACCTAAACCTGAATTTGTACCTGAAAAAGTAGGTTTCAAAGAGAGTATTTGTAGCTGTCATGTCCCTGAAATTGAAGTAAAAGATGATGTACAAGTTTGTCCTCTGTGCCAACTTGTCGAAGATGACGATTCTAAATTGCGTGTAGGGACATGTACACAAGGTCCCCCTAGAACCGCTCCTCCGAAAGATCGCTTGGAACATCTTATGGCACATATAAATCAAATAATTGAATTAGTAAAACAATTAAGTGTTGGACAACAATTACCTTGTGGAAGAAAAGAGAATATTATAAAGTGTTGTGAATCAATGAAATGTAAAATTGAACAATTATCGTCTCCTCCACCTCCATGCGACTTTTGTATGGATGCTGCACAGCAATCGGAGCAACCAATACCAGAACCGGTTCCAGTACCAACACTGCCACCAGCACCAAAATCGCCTCCAGTGCCAAAATCGCCTCCTGTGCCAAAATCGCCTCCAGTGCCAAAATCGCCTCCAGTGCCAAAATCGCCACCAGTACCACAACCGCTACCAGTTTCGCCTTGTATATCTGTCCCTGAAAGCGTAACATGCTCTTGTGTACCTTCAATATGCAGTAAGTTAGCACCATCAGTAAAGTCATCAAGAACTACACCGCCATGCCGTCCGCCACCAGAAATACCATCCCAACGGTCAGTATTGCCGAAAAGTTCAAAATTGTCAAAACAAAAACATAAATTAGGTTATTTCGAAACAGAATATAAAGAAATTATTAGGGTGACAAGGTCGATGAACCCAGACGGTACTTTGAGCGAGGAGAAGCAAGTTATAACAGTGAAAACTGAACGAACAAATCCCCGGCGTAAAAAGAGTAATGAGTATGACGATGAAGGTTACTCTACCCCTTGCCGAAGAAGTGATAGCGATTACGGTGGTGGTGGGGGTGGTTTTAGCGGCGGTGGTGGCTGTTGTGGAGGTGGGGCACCTCCTGATGACAAATCTTGTAGAGATGGTGGCACTTGTAAGTCTGGAACATTAGAACGCCAAGGAGGTGGTGGTGGAGCCGGTGGTTCTCAAAGAAGCACCGGCGGGGATGGTACGGACGGAAGAGAATGTAAGGCTGGTGGTGGAAGTGCCCGCGGATTAAACACCCAGTCTTCCTGTACAGAGGGAGGGGTGTGTCGAGCCGATAGTGTACGTCTTACTGCAATTGACTACACTATTCAATCGGATGTGGCTGGATCATGTGGAGTTTGTAGAGTTTCCAGTGCATCAATGCCTAAAACTCCTTCAGCAACACTACCTATGATTGCTACTTATGCACCTCCTAGTGCATCTATTTGTAATGCCAGTGCTCCTCTATCAGCAACTTCTTGCGCTTCTCCCTGTTCCGCAATTGCTAAACCTGCTCCCTGTGGTATACCTCAAACTGCACCAGCTAAACCTGCTCCCTGTGGTGCTTCACCAACAGCACCAGCTAAATCAGCTCCCTGTGGTGCTGTTCTAACATCACCAGCTAAATCTGCTCCTTGTGGTGCTCCTCTATCAGCATCGGCTACGTCAACTCCCTGTGGTACTCCTTCAGCAGCATCAGTTAAATCTGCTCCCTGTGGTGCTCCTCTAACATCACCAGCTAAATCTGTTCCTTGTGGTACTCCACCAACAGCAGCTAAATCTGCTCCCTGTGGTACTCCACCAACAGCAGCTAAATCTGCCCCCTGTGGTGCTCCTCCAACAGCACCAGCTAAATCTGCTCCCTGTGGTGGTTCTTCAACACCACCAGCTAAGTCTGCTCCCTGTGGTGCTCTTCCAACAACGCCATCTAAAACTACTCCCTGTGGTACTCCACCAACAGCAGCTAAATCTGCTCCCTGTGGTGCTCCTCTCACAGCATCAGCTAAATCTGTTCCCTGTGGTGCTTCTCCAACAGCAGCTAAATCTGCGCCTTGTGGTGCTTCTCCAACGGCAGCTAAATCTGCTCCCTGTGGTGCTTCTCCAACAGCAACGAAATCTGCTCCCTGTAGTGGTTCTCCTACGGCAGCTAAATCTGCTCCTTGTGGTGCTTCTCCAACAGCAGTTAAATCTGTTCCCTGTGGTGCTTCTTCAGCAGCAACTAAATCTGTTCCCTGTGGTGCTTCTTCAGCAGCAACTAAATCTGCTCCCTGTGGTGCTCCTCCATCTGCACCAGCTGTATGTGGTTCCCGTGGTCCTCCTTCGATTCCACCAGCTATATGCCGTACCTGTGGTCCACTTCCAACTGCACCTTGCGGCCCTCCATCGACTGTTCCTTGCACAACTCCTAAAAAGGCCATTTGTCCACCGCCTCGTAAACCTTTACCTTGCAGTGCCGGCGGGATCTGTAGTAATGAAACACTACCGGCCGGTACAAGGGTCCCAAGTATGCGTTACTCTATGGGAATTTTTGACCCCAGTGAGGGCGTCTACAAATCGTGCGGAGCTAGTGCTCAAAGTAGTGTGCCAAGTGTTAAAATTTGTAAGTCAAATACAGATGGTGGAGTTCGGAAGACCTGTTTAGCTGACAACGCCTCAAAAGCATCGAGATCCAGTGTTGTCATTAAAACATGCAAAGAATGTGGCGTCTGCACGATCAGAGACAATGCAGACAGTGGGTACAACTCTGCGGGTACCAGCATCGCTAGTGGGTCCCAGTGTACCTGTGACAAATGTAAAACTGGTGTGGGTTGTGGGTCTCGTTGCGTTATAACAGAGTACGTGACTAGCATTTGCCAGAGTGGTGAAGACGGTTCAGATGACCTCAGAAAAGACCGTCGCACTATTGGATGTGGAAGCTCTTTCTATCACACTACGACCTTTGGTTTCAACCCACTTCCACCAAGTTTCTCCTACCCACCACACGGGCCTGCAGCTACTAAAAGCACATCCACTTCACTAAAACATTATAACAACATTGAATCAACGAGTGGGTGCGCATGTAAGGCTAACAGCACAGGGACAGATAGGAAGATGACTTCAATGACCACGAGTGATTCTTCTTCAGTCGCTTCCAGCTATCGACCTCCTATTGCAGAATTGAGGGACTTTTATTGCGGAACTGATGCACCAATGTTCACGAAAGGTGTGTCAACATCTACATCTGCACAATCCTGCTGGAACCCATTGGTTAAGAAAATGTGCGATAAAGGCACTTTTTGCATTCCTGATTGCAGTACCAAGGCCGGCGTTGGTAATGTCAATGAATCTGTAGTTCGCACAAGCCTTAAAAGAGGCGGAGAGCTAATAATACCGACTCCTTGCTCTAGTGATGCGAGTAAAAATATTAGAGTTAGGTCTTTGACTAACATCAGCTACTCCACTGAGATGACTTCAAAATCACCAACATCAGGTGTTGATGGAAATCGGTGGTTGGAAAATAAGGATGATAATAATGACCTTATTCTCAAAGGATGCACGCTGTATGCACTGAGGAAAATGCTCATGCCGAGAAGTATATCGACACAATGTAGCGAGGTGACTCTAGTATCCGCGGTGGATTCCATTTGTTCGTGTTATCACTCAAAATCGGCAAAATCGTGCCAGAAATGTGCAATGCAATTACAAAACAATCCTACGTGCTACACGTATGTTCAATTGCGTGATTTTGACTTGGAAGACGAAACATGTGTCTCTTGTGGAACCCTTGGACAATTGTCTACTCCGTCTGCATGTACGTTAACTGAGAACACGGTTATCCCTTATAATACGTCGCAAAAGACGAGTAACAGCTTGTTTTCTGAATGTAAGTCTATGTGTGCAGCTATAGCACAGCAGATAAGAACTAAATGTGGTACACCGCTGCCACAGGAGATCTGCTGTCCAAAGCCAGGTGCTGTGAAAACAGTGAAAGTCATACCAAAACAGATTCCTATGCTTGTTGATGCCTATACATCTACAAAACGTAGCGACAGATTCGATTGTAGACCCTTAGTGGTTTTCAAAAAGAACCACACGTGCGCGAAAATTCGAAAGAAGGTTTGTGCGTGCCATTCTGATTCTCATGTCTGTAAGAAAGTTAAAACTTGTGCCACGTTACAGAATAGCAAATCCTGCAGTTCAGATCTATACACAGATTATCCATGTTATTGATATACACTGAAGTATTAAATAGAATTTAATAGTAACTATTAGTACAATATGATGTTCTCCATTTTAACACAACAAAGTCAAATACAAATATTCTAAACGAAGATTTTTATTTTATTGTTTATCTAAAACTAATTACTTCCGCGAGGTTTACCCGCTCTGCTCGGCTGCTACTGATCCTAGCGTAAAGTTTTATAGCCTATAGCCCTCCTTGATAAATGACTCAAATGGACCAGTAATTCCTGATATGAGCGCGTTCAAATAATCAAAGAAACTCTTTAGCTTTATATATATCAACTTCTGTCCGCGACTTCGTACACGAAATCCCTTTTTGTCCCGTTCCCGTAGGATTTTCAGGACTTTTTTCTGGCATAAGAACGTTCTCCTAACAATAACAAACACAACAAAATACAATCAACCAAATCGGTCCAGCCATTCTCAAGTTATGGCGTGACAACGGGAAACGGGTTTCATTTTTATATATATATAGATAAAGATAACAGTGCAGGTTTAACTAACTAGGACATACTTTTAGTGTAAGGGGTGAATCACCGAATGACTTCTCCCGCCTGGGTGAGGCGGGAGGGAGTGTCAGACTCTTACTGACTAAAAACCACCCCGTTCCTGCTCCTGCAATTCGAGCCGTATCCCGGGCAACCCGTTAAGTCCTCTGCGGCTCCGTATCACTTCTATAGGATTAGACCTGCATTGAGTAAGCATGGTGATTAATTGTCAAACCTTCTCCGTGTAAGAGGAGACCTTAGGTCAGCAGTGGCCACTTATAGGCTGTTGTTGTAAGATGTTAGGAGTAGAAAAGAGGTTTACTTCTGTCAAGCAACAGAAGCATATATAGAGGTAAAAACCAAACCAATAATGCCAAATTGAAAACACATATCTGTGATGAACAATTCAATTTTTAGATCTTCAAAATCATCCAATGACTTCTCCCACTTTGGGTTAGGCGAGAGGAAGTGTCAGACTCTTACTGACTCCGTTCCTACTCCTGCACTTCGAGCCGGAACCCCGGTAACCCGTTAGGCCTTCCGCAGCTTCGTGTCGAGCATCAGCCTTACTGGGCCCCATCTGCGGCGGTCTGATGGCTCTTTGAGGCACCACTATAGACATAGGCTTCTCTAATAGCGCGCTACTCAGCTCAACGCATCCAACCACTGACAGCCATACAGCAACTACATTTGAGTTTATCATGAGATTCATTTACAGTATAAGAAGATAAGAGGTTAGATAGGCCCAGATGGAAATGAAAGTGGACTGTATTTCAAAGGTATATATTAGGTGTTGTACAATGGTCTAAAGTTATAATAAAATCATGCGATCGTGGTCGCGTTGTTGTATGGAGTGTCGACAGCGCACGGCTTTATTTTGAACTAGTTGTTGCCCGCGACTTTGTCCGCTTAGAATATAAATTTTAGGACACAGGTACATTTGTTTTGTTTCAATTTTCCAAAATAAAAGTAGGTAGCCTATGTTACTCCAGTACTTCAGCTAACTGCCAATAAAAGTTCCCTCAAAATCGGTCGAGCCATTCCAGAGATAAGTCAGTACAAAAATGTAAAAAATAATAGATATGAAACAATAAACAAAAGAAAAAAAAGAATAATCAAAGCAAATAACATTATTTTACAATGCCTGTCTGTTTGTTTATTAGTAAAAGGGGTTATTTGAATATTACAAACAATTATCCCCCCCCCTCCCTTTCCTCAATCCCTGAATCCCCAACAATCCTCAAATTCCTTATCCCAAAAGGCCGGTAACGCACTTGTAACGCCTCTGTCCCTTTAGCCAAACGCCACTTTAGCGCTTGTCTACGGAGATAGTAGAAAACAAAATGTATGAGGATGACACTGACAAGTGTCAAAATTTACGTCAATCCCATATAATTTGGTTTTCTATTCTACAAGTAAACAAGCGCTAAATGGCATTTGGCTATAGTTGCTGGTGTTCCAGGTGTCCATGGGCGACGCCGATTGCTTACCATCAGGTGATCCGTCTGTTCGTTTACCGGCTAATCCCATAAAAAAAACAGATACTACAATTTGATTCATCTGTATAAATTTATTCCAAAATCCAATGAAAGGTGGTACCTATCTCTAAAGACTTTCAAATGACATTTTGTAGTATGTGTATACGATTACATACCAGACTATACGAAACCAATTTATCTAGGTCTCGCTTCGTATGACCTTACCGCAAACACAACGGTCAATTTATACTGGTTGATAGGCTTGAATTATACAAAGCAATAACTATTTCTAATATAGTGGTCTAAACTTAGTATAAGGGAATGCGTACACATGACCGACTAAATATAGCCAATAAGACTCTGTCTAGACATTATGTAAAACTAAATAGTCTAAATACGACTAAATAAAACTAAATAACTAACATTGTCTCAGTGTTTGGCATTGGCATCGGATAATTAGTTGCTTGTAAAACAACTAAAGATTGCGCGTTTTGTTTCACGTCTGTGCGTCGGCGCAGCTTGCAAATTTGTAGCGTAGGGCTGGCAGGAAAGTTTTAAGGTAATTTTAACTTACATACACGACTTTCTGTCTCCCATGGGGCAGAGACTATGGACCTCTATAATTATGGACAATACGGTAGTTGCCAACTATACTCGGAATTTTAATTCGATTCCAGATTTGACAATTTCAGTATTGCAACGTTATGACAAGTACTAAATAGTGACGTTGCGAAATTATTCGATATGGAAATGCAATATTTCTGGATCGATTCTTCTCGTTTATAATTTTATTCTAGTAAACTAAGGATATCAGAAAATTAAATCTCTCTGACCGATAATTTAGTTTTGACGATTACTTAACGATCTGAGACTTTTCTTTTATAATTGTGTGTGAAATAACTAAAAAAATGTACCTAATCATGAAGGAAAATGACAAATAAAATAGATAGATATATTATGGTAATAAGTTATTTTATAAATTGTCGCCGTCATCGCTATCGCTATCCTGTCACTTTCTGTAACATTTATTATAAAACTACACACTGATTGTTTATCGATTTTTGTGTGCATCACTACACTATTATATGTGGTATCATTATTTCACAAAATGACAGTAGCTATTGTCAAATCTGGAATCTAATTAAAATTCTGACTATAGTCAAATTCAATACTTTATGTGGAGACTCAATTGCCATAGAAGAAAAAAAATACTTTATCGAAACGTCAAAAAATATACTGTTCTGTGAACGATTTTGTACGAAATACCATCTTATGACGTCATCATATTTTCGCGTCAAATAGCAACTTACATCTGAACAAAATGCTAGAATAAATTGAAGATTAAGTATATCGACAAATCAATGAATGATAATGTAACTATTTTTCAATATTTAATTGGACTGAAAAATCAAAATAATTAATTTGACCCAGGAATATACCCAATTGTTAAGATTCTTAGTATGCGACTTACGACTGTACGGTTGGCGAGGTGGTTGGGCAACTGGCTGTCACGTAATGCGTCGCGGGTTCGATTCCCGCACGGAACGACTCTTTGTGTGATCCATAGATTGTTGTTCCGGGTCTGGGTGTCATGTGTATGTGAACTTGTATGTTTGTAAACGCACCCACGACACAGGAGAAACTCCTAGTTTGGGGCAACATTTTTTTTTAGAAAATACTGTGATGGGTAATTTTAACTTTTTACCTGATAATCTGGTGATTCAATTACGTGCTGGTTTTCATTGCAATTTGTTATATTATTTATTAGAAACGATCTTGATAATATTATTGCATTATTTATGTTCATTCTACGTTGGAAAATTCAATGACTTTGTTGAAATAGTTTTCTGTGAATTTTGCATACGATTGCAAATTGTGACATCAAATAATTATAACGTAACATAGGGTAGGCAGAGGTGCACATTGCGGCACTTAATGCCACTGTACAATGTACCACCCACTTTTCACTATTTATGTTATGAGTCCCATGTAATAGGGGGTGAGCCTATTGCCATAACTATACCGGGCACAATTCCAGACTCCGTGCTACTACTGAGAATTTTTTAAAAACCTAGTAATACTTTGCTCGACCCGGGAATCGAACCCGAGACCCCTTGCCCGGCAGTCGCATTTGCGACCACTCGGCTAGGCAGGCAAATTAAATATCTAATAAACTAATTACAAGATGAGTGACATATTTTTAGCACAACCCTAATTACGTTTTGGCTCGCGTCCCAGACATAGTACGAGTGTTGTGACGTCACGACGGCATTCCTATAACGACGTAGCAACTGATATAATTATACCAGCATATAATTATAGCAAACTTACTACGGTACCTAAATTGTGTGGTGACGGGTGAGTAGAACATATTTGTGGCTATCCCTTCTCTGTCGTAAGAATCTACTAAGGGCCGATGTTTCCAATGCCATGTAATAACTATCGAGAGACTTACTAAATTAACTAAAATCGCGGGTTACACATGTGAATATATTGAGAAAAGCTCTACTAGTTTCGAACCATAGAGGGGTTCTTCCTTATGAGCAGCATGCGCGGTCGCGGCGATGTCGCGCAGTTCACTGGCTGGCGTTGGCGCTAGTGGTGTCCGGCAGAGGGCGCGTTGGGCTTCACACAGCTCACTGGCAAAGCCAATGAAGAACCCCTCTGTGGTCCGAAACTAGTAGAGCTTTTCTCAGTACATTTTTAGATTAATCCGCCATTTTAGTTTAAACTGAAAAATAACTTTGAATGTTTGCCAATTTTCGTCCACACTAAAAACTGTCAAATGTCAATTTTTTATTTTATGTTAAGAATTAACTGATTATTAAAAAATTGGTCGTTACTCCCGAATACTGAAAGGCTACTCAATTTTATGGTGCTAGGATCACCTGATGGTAAGCAATCGGCGCCGCCCATGGGAACACTAGTTGTAGTTATAGTGATTGGCGTGTTCAAACAAAAGAAACAAAATCTTCCGCTTTATATAATAGTATAAGATTATGAATTTAGGTACTGTAAGAAGACGTTTCATTGCTATTCGAATATAAAAGGCGCTTGAATAATAAATGTTTTTTTTTATAAAATTCTCGT